TATTCATGGCTTAAGCGCACGTCAACGCAGCCGCTAGTTGCTGAGCCCGCGGCTTCACGCACTCCCAGAGAAGGTCCGGGGCGGCCATGGCGGGCGATGGCGGCTTGTGACACTGGGCAAACTACCCCCTCATAGATCCACAAGTGGTGCAGGACCGGTAGTTTGTAGACTCTGCTTGCTTCTGCCGTGCCAAGACTCAAAGTTGCTCTAGACTCTAGACTTCTGGCCACATGTGGGCGCTGAGGCGCTGGCCTGCTTGAACTTCTCCACCTTCTTGTTGTCCTTGACGTCTAGCCTCGTAGCCGCAGTACTGAGGCTTTCCATGGCTGCATGGCTGATGGGTCTGCCTCCGCTCCGTGCGTTCAAGAGAACGCTCTGCCCGGAGAATTGCAGCCTACAGCAATGCTTTAGATGTGCAGAGCAGGCGCAGGCTTCTAGACAAGACCTCCACGTCGAGCGCATGCTTCTCCAGTTGCTTCTTCATTTCTGCCAACTCAGCTGTTCGCCTGGCTTTCAAGTCTTTTCAGACGGGTGTCCCAAGCGCAAACGTTGTGATAAAGAGGCAGCTCTCTCGAGCAGCACGACTAGTGCCTGGAAAGGCAGTCTTCCGATCGATGGTTTGCTCTTGATGTGTCCTGCTGTCACTGCCCATGCCACAACATCTGAGAATAGACACGACTGGATATTCATCAGTCCTGCTTGACCTTGAAGACTGTCTCTAGACTCTTGTTCCGGTGACAGCTCGTCTTTTCCAGAAGTTTCAGAGTGTCCTGAGGCGCAGAAACTGATCCAACAATCCCATCGCACTGAGCGATCTGATTCCACCCAAAGTACAACGAAACACCGGTCCGCAATGAGCTCCTTTGAAGCTTGCTCCGCTTTTTTCTGCTCCTAGCAGGTGAAACACGCCTTCTAAAGGCTGCTACAACGAAGCACCAGCAGCACTGCCGCCTCGGGCGTCATCACATGCGAAGGTGCCGTGACTGGCCGCTCGGCCTGCTTTGGATTGGCCGGTGCTCTGCGACACCGGTCATTCCAGTCAACGGCCACTAAAGGTACCAGTACAAAACCAATGCCTCCGGTGCTTCGGCTGGTTCCTCAGCCTTTTCTGTCTTTTCAGCTTCAGCTTTTTCTTCCTTTTTCTCCTCTTTCGGCTCTGCCTTGCCATTCTTTGGACTGGAGTTTGCCTCGCACATGCAGGGAGGTATTGGGCAAGTGCACATGCTGGCTCGCAGGCATAAAACAAAGGAAAGCGCCGGAGGGCATACGTGCCTTCACGGGAGGCAGTGCCACCTGTGGCCTGAAGCGCAGGGATGCGCAAGGTCTTGAACGAGCTGCATCTTTTATACTCTGTCGTGCATCGTCGGCTCCGCCAAGACTCCAGCGAAAGCGTCTTCAAGTCCTCCATCATCTGCAAACGCCTCAGACAGTCACACTGTTGGCATTGTCCGGGACCCTTCTCACACACGCAGGGCACTCTGCCGCGGACCGTATCCCGGTATCCTCAGACAGAAACTTCCTCTTGTCCCTCGGAAGCAGCTCGCAGCTCAGACGAGGAGACTTCTCTTTTGCTGCCTTTCGCTCCGGGCCTCAGCTCGGTTACGATCTTCTTGCCTTGCTCCTCGAGCTCCAGCAGCTCCTTCCGCCCGCAATCTTGAGCGACACACGATCCCTTCACAGCCACTCAGAACCTTGCAAAGGCGAGGGCGAAACCATGTTTTCCTCGTTGGTCTTCTGATTCGCTCGGCTATCCCCGTACGCCCCCAAAGCACGCCCCATCCCCTGAACGAGGCTCTCTTCATTTTCCCTCCGTTCAATATGAGAAGGCCGATCAGGCCAACTTGCCTCCCTGCTCCCTCGTCTTTCGACCGCCTCCTGCAGGAAACCAAACCAAAATTGAATCCTGAACTGGTGAGTGCCTTGTCCGGGATCCAACAGCCCGGCAACTCCGCCCATAGTAGAAGGTCTCCCATAGTCGGATTAAATGGGCCGTGGAAGCGATTGACAAGCCCCGTTTTCCTCACTGCTGTCCTCCCCGGCATGCAGAGTGTATTGTCCATGCCGTAACCTGCTTCAACTGCCTTTGGGCTGCGATTTCTATGGTCTGCTGGTTCATTTAAGCAGTCCCTGTGGAGTTCAACACATGTTCTGGGATGATTTAGGGCTTTAGCTAATCGCGCTCTAGTTGTTGTTGAATGTGATTCCTGGCAGGAATGCAGGTAAGCACAGGGTTTTCACGCCCCAAGCGAGCTGCTGTTCAGGGACGTGGCTGCGTGGTGATAACTTCGCCTGTCAATTGCTCCTCAGGGAGAGTCGATTTGAGGACGTCCGGTCATTAATGCATTGAAGTGTCCATTATGCATTGCTGCCTTGTTTCGGCAAAGTGCGCCGAGTGGACACCTCGGCATGTTCCAAGTTGAGCTTGATGCCTTACGAACTGCAAGTAGAGCTACTTGAGAGCCACGGCCTGAGACGAAAGGTCAACAATCGACAGGGCTCGCGATGCAAAAACTGGGAGAGACAGACGACAGGAACTCAGATACGTGAATTCCGAGAACTCGACGACATGCCCGTGAGAGGACTCACAAGCAATGTTGCTGCCGAATCCAAAACATCCCAGACAGTGCAGCGCGCAAATGCCCATGAAAGGAGCTGGACTCAGAAGAATCCGCATGATGCCCAAGACGAGCAACGAATCTTGAGATCTGTCGAAGCCAACATCAGCTTCATGAGAAGGGGTCAAAAGTCCAGCAGCCACCATCAGCAGCATCAAAAGAGGCCCATTTCTTCCACCGAAACCCTGCCGAAAAGGGGTCACCGGAAAACTCGAGATCTAGCCCGATAATTTTAGTCTCGCTGTATGGCAACGCGGCTCTGGCCAGCCACGGGTGGGAGAGCTCAAGAAACTATGCAAACCTCCCGTACCGCGCCCCCGGGTGGCCCCCCTACACCCCCCGGACGAAGCTCCCCACTCCGGGGGAAACTTGTCGGATTTGGCCTGCTGCAGGTGTTGAGCGGGGGGAATCCTTTGGACCGTGAAATTGCAGAGTTGCAAATCCTGAGCCGAATAGAGAAATTTCAATAAACAACTAAGCGACGACGAGTGGCATACCCCAAACGAAGTCATACGTGCTTGGAGAGAGGACAATTAGAACGACATCCGCGATTCAGTACGCAGGAAGGCTTGCACTCTGTCTGTCTGTGTGTGTGTGTGTCTGTCTGTGTCTGTCTGTGTCTGTCTGTGTCTCTATCTGACTCTCTCTGTCTCTCTCTGTCTCTCTCTGTCTCTCTCTGTCTCTCTCTGTCTCTCTC